AAATCAGACGTCTAACTGGCAGTATGCGGCGCTGGGATGCGGGAGGCATCCGGGCAAACGGTGGATATACCCGATATTGACTTTTCGATGACTAATTATCAATGTGTGGGTCATGATTGACATTTTGTAATGTGATTTGACAATTCAATAACGCTTTTGAGCTTTCACTGACAATACTTATTAAAGATAATTTTAAGCGTGAAAACTGTCCATATTTTGATGTCATGATATGTAAATTAAAAATTGTTATTTTACTGTGATAATCTTGTTTTTTTGTGCCCAATAATGCATAATTTCATTTAATAAACACGTTTAGATTGAATGGTAATTTATAATCAGTCACAAGAACGTCGAATCTGAATCACTTGAAAAAAACACGGGGGTGCTTAAAAGGATATTCTCTACCATATCTACTGAGAGGATATTCTCACTGTTTATGAATGTTGTTTAATCTGCTTTTTTAATTTCCCTAGTATTTATGGCAATTTTTGTTAAATTATGACCACTAGCATAAAATGCCTGGACTCCATTGTGGGGTTCTAAGACCTTCTCATGATTCACATCGGCCCCAGTATATTGATCGAACTCCTCCATTACTCTTAATTTATTCTATAGTTACCCCAAGGGAGGGTTTATACCCATAAACAAATTCCATTAGGACACCTACCCATGGTAGATGAGAACAGATGTAATGTTTGACTTGGGAGTGGTATGAACATAGTTTCAAACATGGTGCCCCTGGGATCCTGAGGTTGTCCAAGAACAATACCTGATTTGGATTCAAGTTTGGCAACCCTGAAAACCTACTTTTAGACCCCCATCATGTCTGGATTTATTGTTTCCCCTTTTGTTTTCCCTCTTGGTGAGGGGAAAGCTACACTATATATACACCTGGAAAAAAGAAGATATTCTCTACCATATCTACTGAGAAGATATTCTCTACCATATCTACTGAGTATCTACTGATCTACCATATCTACTGAGAAGATATTCTCTACCATATCTACTGAGAAGATATTCTCTACCATGTTAATATAATAAGTCCAAAAAAATAATTGAAGTATTCCAGCAGCAATGTATATCAACAAACTAAACTATTCTTACTTAATGACACATTAGTACTTCTGACTAACCTATGTGTAAAGTTTAAAATCAATAACATTTGTTTGACCTTCCAACCAGAATAATCACTTACCACTACACGTTCATGAAGGTTTTGTCCAAACACAAAGTTTGTGGGGCCTGAAGTGACTCTGAAATTTAAAAAAAACATGCAATGAAATACAAGACCCTTGCATGACTAAATATTTTATTCAGTAAAACACAGCATTATCTATTTCTATTAAGGGTAAAGTTCTTAAATTACACTCTCAACTGATCAATAGCACCCAGTGTTAACTCTTGGACTACTCTTGAATAGTTGAGTTTGGCAATAACAATTATAATGGACTCATGGCCCTGAAGCAAGGAGCAAGTATTTTTGGCAATGGATTACAAATCATTAATCCTTGGACTTACAGTCTGAAAATACTGACCTATACACCACGCCAGGCCTGGCAGTGTCTAAGAAAATACAGAGGATCTTGAATACAAGTTTCATTTAAAATTTAAACTTTTATCATGCTGAACATTATTATGAAGTGTTGTTGCCTTTAGCTGTTCCTGGAAAACAAACTATTTTCTTTATCTGGTTCTGAATATTTAACCCATACACTACACTAAATTAGTTAGCTGTACCTTACAGTTCTTTAGTTTTGTATCTCATACTATTACAGTTTTCTGGTCAAAACCTAGTCCATTTTAATTGAACATCATATTAAAGGATACACTACATTGGTGTTAAAAACATGATAACAATACAAAGATGCAATGGTTTCTATTTCTAAATTTCTCCCACACATGACTTTAAATAAATAAATATTTACATTTTTAGAACTAAAATGAATTTCAAAAAGGCCCTTATCTCTGAAATACTGAAAACTTTTCATTGTTAAGTTTGAATTCATGCTGTCAACAAAACATGTGACTAAGAATTTCCAATTTTCCTTTATGCATTGTACAGCATGCATAAATTTTAAATAATTCTACACCCTCCCACCTTCCATGCAAGTTATAGTGCAAGTATCATAAGACCTTACATAAGCTTTGCTTTCTTGCTATAATTTAGATTTTATTAAAAGTTGCAGTCACAATTAAACTCGTTATGGGGAGGTAGGAGGAAAGGTATTTCACAGATAAGTAGCTGTTTGAAATTCTTTTAATTCTAAAAATGTAAAATTCAAATCGTGTAGACGTGCCTATGAAATACTGAAAGCCAGAATACCCACATTGTAAGAGGTGGGAACAAATTAACATGAAAAGAACCAAAAAACATAAAGCTCTAAGTCAAATGAGAGGAAAATAATAATCTAGACCACAAGAAGTATGTAGCCAAGCAGAGTCTGAGTAGAATTCCCAACCGGTAAATAGTCTCCAGATCTGGATTTCAGAGAGAATGAGCCGAGAGATTCAGATCAAAGGGGCAGTTTAGTGAGTAGCAATGATGTATTGAACCATTCAAGCCAACAATAAAACAGATGTTGAAATAAACAGACAGGAAGAATACTATTGTCCTGCTTCTGTAGTGGAAGATTTTCGGGTAATCAGCCCAGACATGTACTATAAAAAGATGTACTCAGAGGCAGTGGCTCCTCTTCATCCATAATGAAAATGGCCAGTAAGTAACACAACCTGCCAAATCAGTCTGTGCTCAGGAAGAACCAGAGAAAGACCCAAGCAGGCCTCAAGGATGTACACAACAATGGGAACTTCAAATCATAAGTAATAAATAAATAAGTAAAAAAAAAAGCCCAGGTCCATACTGGTTTGGAGCCAAGACATCTAGTGATAACAACAGTCCTGTTTCCAACATCTCCATGTCACACAAGGACATGCATGCTGATGTGGGATAGGTACCCATCAAGGCATCATAATCTACCTGACAGCACCCTCTGCTCACTTCCAAAGGGCAACACCCTCTCATGGAGTCTAGTGTAGAGGGTACAATTTTGTCCAAAATAAATAAATAAGTATATCCAACATGTGAGAGTCCTGTTTGAACAAATCTCACAGGAGGTGAAATCATGTTGTTTTTTTTTTGTTGTGCACAGACGGGAAAGATTTTCTCACCTCAGACATCCCTAGATTTTCGAACAGAGGTACGGTGGTGTGGCAAAGATAAAACAGCAAAATAAATATGCAGATTCATCGCTATGCCAACCTAAAAGATATCTACTAAAGGGTACAGACCGGGAAGGCAAAGACATAGCCAAATGATGAATGGGATGAGATGTAACCTGAAATCCACGTTTGAGGTGATCAGAAACAACACAACAAATAAGATGGATAAGTTATACAAAGCAATTCACTAATGTGGATGATGCAATATCTGTAGAATGAGAATCATCATAGAGTATCAATAACCTGTGTCGATTCCCTCAAGAATATAGCATTTTTGCAAAATAGGAACAATCAACACTGACTGACCAGATAGAAACGTTTGCCACGAAGAAAATTAAAGTCAGTTCGAATAGGTAACACAATAGGAGAAAAACAGCACTGACTATTGCTAGCAGCCCAACTCTGGTATGAAAACTAACAGGATATAAGCACTGAGCATTCCTGGAAAGAAAGGAGTAAAAATGAGAAATAGTAACAGCAGAAAAAATAAATAAATTCAGAAAGACTCTGAAGTGAGTAATGAAATAAAACATGTCTTCAGGGAAAGATGGTAAGAGTGAAGAAGTTACAAAGGGTAAAACAGAAGAAGTTGGGCAGCTTAGTCAGACTTAGATCCCATTGAGAACAATGCCTAAGTACTTGTGGGAGACATAATAAACAAATCTGGAAATAAAAAGCAATAAAAAAAAGATTTTTAGTATTATCTAAAGATTAAAAATTGGTTTTGGATAGTTAAATTTTTACAAAATGATAGAAAAAAAAGGCAATATTTTCTCTTCACATTGAGTTACACATAATTGTTTAGGCACCACTTATAAAAAAAATTGTATTGTAATAAATTAATAAACCATTTCACAATGACTTTTTTTTAGTTCTGTTTTATATTTTTTTGGAAAAAATAGAACATTCAATTTAGGATGATTTCTAAATATTGTGAAATGCCTTTAGCATTATCTTTAACAACTGAAAATACCACTCTATCAGTTTTACCACATGCACACAAACAATTTATGACAAAATTAGAACTTCACAAGAACTTCAAAACTGTTAGTTTTTTAGTTATTAATTATTATATACATGAACAAAATATTTTGCAATAACATTTTTTACACAGTTTCAGTAGTTTTCAAGGCTCAGATCAAACTGGAATCTTACCTATGAACCAAAATAAGCATATAAGAGAAAGAATATTCCCTGTCCCTTTTTCTGAAGGCCTAACTCATACATATTGCAAACCATGGTGACTGTCCGAGCATTTGTCTGTCTCCTATATTGCATTTGAAAAGTTGTGTATGCAGGCAAAACTCAACATTCACTTTTGAAATGACAGGAGAACAGGCAGGAATAATGTTGATGCCAAATTTAATTTTGCAAGCTCGATATTCTACACTAAATTGTTAGGAATTAATAACACTATCATTCAAATTTCAAAATGTGACATAACTTAATGAACAAAAATGTAGATTTACCGTATGTTATTGTTGAGCGGCTCTTAGCATGACTGAAATGCTCAACAGTTGCTTTCCCCTTAAGTTAAAAAAAAGTATTAGGTGTGTTTTTTGACTGACTTAAACTGGACAGCTTCAGCAATCAGATAGCTGCACAAATCTTTAATGTTCAAAAACCATAGTGACCTCATACAGTATTACTGTGTCTATATACATTTTCTTACTCCTATAAATGTAAATAAAACAGCTATATTACTCCAGGTGGTTTTTCCACCTTTCAATTTGTGTACATGACAAAATTATTAGAGAAATTTATATATTCAATTAATGAAATATTTGATTCTTTTTTTAAAGATTTATACAAGTCATTTGAATTTTTTTTTTCTCAAAGTTATACAATATTTGATTTTAAGGTTGACTGATTAAGAAACAATTGTTCATCTTAGTGTGGAAACAATCAATAATTCAAATGTGGAAGCCCTAATATACACCTAATCATCTTTATTTATATCAAATCCTGTTCATCAAAAAGTAATGATAGAGAAAGATGAAAATTCTACACTAGCCACGTAGTTGGTTAAATGATTCAGCCAACATGCATTATTAAAGTAATATCGAGTTTGACCCGAGTTCAGAGAACACTTACATAGGCTCTGATGGTCCTGATGATTTGCTACATTCAGATTTAAACAGTGATTTAAAAGGACTGTCATCACTGGACCTAAAAGTCTCAGAAGACCTTGAAATGGAAGACGTCACTTGTTTCTTTGCCCCATTACTACTGTTACTACTCAAATGTAGTGTGTCACTTTCTTCCAGTTGTTCCGTGTTGTCTAAAACAATTTTATTTTCTTTATCTTCCTGTTTATGGCTTGTAAAGGTTAAACTCTGGGATTCTGGAAGTAATGAAGAAGTATTTAATTGTTGCTTAAAAGTGCTGAATATTTTTCTATGATCTAACCCTTGAACAAAGTAAATTGCACACATCTACAGTACAAAAGAGAGGTAAAAAATCCTTATTTATAAAACAAAAACCAATAAGAGATTTCTGTAAACATTTTAAAAACTGCATAAAGTGTCAACATTTTACATACTGCCCCATTACGTTTAAATATTTGAGGCACTCTATATTGAAGAATCCTAGAGTTACACTTGTACTTGTTTCCAATAACAGCTACCATAGCATTGGTAATTTTTTTCCCCATAAGACAAAATAATTTCTTGACAAAAAACTGGTCCTGGAGACTCTTTGTATAAAACAGCAGTACAAAGCAAAAGAATGTGGTCTTTAAAGTTTTTTAAGTATACAGATAAGATCAAGGTACCTTACAACTACTTAAAATTGTATACCAAACAAAAGAAAAAACAAAAACCATTTGATTTCTTTCTCTTAAGTGGCTGATAGAATGTTTTTAAAAAGCTATATAAAGTTGGTTATTTGAAGGAGTATAATAGATACAAGTTTGAAATTTAGAAAAACCTTTTATTATTTGTTCAAAAGAAAAATCATGCGATCTGTATATAAATATTCAAATATTTCAAGTTTTGCAAGTTTTACATTTTATATTCATGCAGGAGTAATAGCTGAATTAAAAAGCTTTGAGAAATATTACAAAAACGATTAAGGATCTATGTTCATTTCATCAGAATATCAACATTATTCTTCATTGTCTTCTCTTGCATAACATTGTCACACCCATGTAAGATGTAACAATGTAAATGTAATGAGCACAATTCATATGTACTATATGCAACATGCTTATTGTTGATTAACAAAGTAAATTATATTTCTTCTGATTAAATTCTTATTGACAAATTTTGGTTTTACAGAGAAAAGAGCAAAAAATAGGTATAAAAACACAAAAGTTATGTTCATCCACACCCGAGTTTACCAGGAAAACTACACACTAGTTGTTATTCTCATTCAAAATATTTGATTTGGTTGTTTGTTAACTCTTTCAGCACGAGCTCGTAACCATTTTGTGCTTGTTATAGTTTTCATGCTATAACTTTTAAATTAGTAAGCATATGTTAACGAAATTTGGCAGATTATCCGTAAACATTACAATGCTTTCATATGCAAGATATCAAATTTTTTAAGTCTTAAAGTTTGTAAAGCAATGTTTTTCTCATGCCTTTTTTATTTCTTTTTGCATGTTGCCTATCCAATATGCAAAGTAATTTTCATTTTAAGATTAAAAATATGCATCAGAAAATTTTCAAATTTCACAAGTGAAATCTTTATAATGTCCAGATAGTTATCAGACATTTCTGTATCCAATAATATAAAACTTACCTTTAGTCTTTGCAAAGTGACCTGTCTTGGCTGTGTTTTAGTAGACTAGTATTTTGTAAAATAGTTACATTTCAAGTATTATATATATATATATATATATATATATATAT